GTCCGAGTACAACCTAGAGCAATGAAAAACTATTATAACAGCTATTATAATAAAAATAACTGTTGCCAGTATTTTTAGGTATTTAGCTATAATAATTATAAAACTTTAATCTCAAATTTGAATTTCAATAATTTAATCCATCTAATTTCCTTCTGCTTATGGTTTAAGTTATTTTATACAAATTTCATAGTAATATCAGGTTTAATTATATTTAGCATAAAAAATTTAAAAATTCTAATTTTTAAAACTCCAAATGTAATCAATGAAGATATAAAAAATTAATATAAAACATTACATTTATGTTCAATCATTACTAGGGTGTATAAATTATGATTTTTCCTTACATTATCTAAGATATCCAAATTTTTTTAAAAACAATTCTATATAACTGTTTCTAAAATTTATAAAAATAATAACCCAATTTATACACCCTAATTATCCAAGTAAATGTTACCCTTCCATACACTATTGGAAACCTCGTCTCTTATAGTAATCTTAAGAAGGTTACAGTTTGAGTTCGGACAACCCAACAGAAAGCAAAAGCTTATTAAATCCAACTAAAGTTTGGACTGTTCTAACTGAAAAACAAACAAGTTCGTAATCAATTAATGGAAATTTCCATCTTTGGAACGAAAATGGATGAGCAGAAGTTTGAACTACACCCAAAGGCCAAGGAGAGCCTGGGTCTACACTAAACTATTGGGCGTTAATTCTTCTAAGACCAGCCCCTATCAATGAAAAAGGGAATTGGATCTTTTAAGTTAAGGCGCACATCCTCTTGTTAGGAGAGGAAAGCATGTAACTGATGACATTCAGGAGAAACATGGAATTGGTCACCATACAGGGTACGAGGCCTGACCGCAACTTAAGATTCAATTACTATTAAAAAGATCAAAGGATAGGGTGAATGAGTACCAGTAATAAAATCTAATACGAGCAGACCAGAACTAGATTACAAGATCATGAACAAAATCTCCCTAGAGATGGCAATAGCTTCATTCACAAGTAATCAAGGTATTCTAAGTATTTTCATTGGGGTCTACTGGTCTATCTACTGCTTATAATACAAAAAAAAAAAATACAAGTTTTTTGCAATAGACATGAATCCATGCAGAAGGTAAAAGATCATTTAATTGACTGATATAAAATTAACCCCGTAAAGAATACTTCTTCCCTGTAAAAGCTTGAAATTTCGACTCTTCGTTCTCTTTAGGTGGCTCAGGTTTTGGCTCTTTAGCCTGCACAGAAGGAAGATGTAAAAGTTAACAGTCCATCAATTAACATTCTAGAAGCACAGATGTGGAATCCGGAAATGATTTGAGATATTACCAAAAAGTTGCCAAAAAGCAAATTACCTTTCCTGTCTCTTTAGAACGGTTTGCATTTGACCCAAACACAAGCTTGCCCTGAGATTGACGAGCATTACTTTGTGAGCTAGAAGTTGTAGAAGACTGCGAATTGACATTTGGAACATCAGGTTTCTTGTCCTTTGACCCTGAGGAAGAAGAAACCGGAGGAGGCTGATACTTCAAAGGTTTTCCATCCAACCGTCTCCCAGTTCCCGAAAACGGGTTGAACTTGGGCTCAGTTTCGGCAGGGGTATCCTCAGCTGCAAGGAAGAACGTGTCAGTCTTTATAACAAAAAGAACACTAACATAATCATATTGTACATTTTATTACAAAAACTTAATGCTCCCATTTGAATATTTGACACAATCCCGATTATATATAAAAAAAATAGTGAACCCATCATGGTCAAATAACCGCAAATATCAATGTAGCAGACATCAACAGCAATAACTTAAAAATAACAAGTTTTAGCGTGTAATGCAACGGATTCAACATAATCGACTTACAAACATATGGTCAACATCTACACTCTCAGTTTTTTTATTTATCTTTTAAAAAAAACTTCTTCACACTTCAAGGTTCAGCACTGATGTTCAAGTAATATAGCAAACCAATTAAGCCCAAATAATAATTGAAAAGGACATTATTCTCCATACTAGGACCTTTCGATACTTCAGTTTATAAACTGAGCTTCCAATACAGAAACATGTCACACAAACAGAGGAAAAGAACTTCCATCCAAAGAGACAATACGACAAACATCAGTCACTCAAGTACATACCAGCCGCTGGTGCCTTTCCAGTAGAATGCGGTGCAATGGGCTTTTCAGGTTCCTTGTAATCCAAGGGAGGAGCAAAGTCAACCTAGCAGTCAATCTCAATTATGCTTATGGCATTGTCAGGCTTAGTTTCTATAATATCTATGTAATATTTTTTGTTGTTGTAAGCCACCATAATGCTATCTCCAGTAGTCAAGCAGGAAAAATTCCTCAGTGTCGTTTCTAAGCTGCATAAAAAGTACAATATATAAATCAAGATCTACCTCAAGTCGCTGTACAAAAGTAAATAAAGAACTAAATTAAAAAAGGACTACAAGATAGAGTTAAAACAAGACAAACCATTAAGCAACAACAATAAAACTCATCCCAATAAATCGCATGTGGACAAGGAATTCACATGCTGAACTTAGCTCTAAACCATATTCGATATAGTCATGTGGAATAATTAGTTGACCCACTTCTAAGATTGAGTCCACATTACCACATCAAAGAACACAGACGCGAGATACAAAAAATCCCAAAAACCAGACTGCTTCAAATACCATAAACCATAGAAGTTGCAATGTGTGTAATTAAGAAAACATCAAGCAGCGGGAATATAATGGAAAAATGGTATGAGAGGATACACATATCAGTTTGCAAAGAAGAAACAAATTAGAGATATTGCATTTTCAAAAGAAAAACTCATCAGCGGGGAAATAGCATAGCTTTACTATCTAAACTTAATAAAAATCAACTCACATAGCTTTCGGATTGGAAATATCTAAGAAGTCCTTTGTGTGGGGCTGTAACTTAACATATGTCCCTTTTGGAAGTGTCACATTTTTCACTTTAACAATGTCCCCCTCTTGTAAAAGCATGTTCTCCATCATCTGTGTATGTAACCAGATCAATTAAAAAACTTAAAACTCAAAGCAGAACCATATTTGGTGAAACAAGCATACAAAAATATTCACAAACAATTACTTTGGAATGCCTACCCAGTATGGCATGTATATCATGCCTTCCTCTGCAATGAACTCAAGAACACCACAATGAGAAACCCGCTCAGCAGCATCATTACGCAGTTCAAACAACATTGGGTAATCAATATGAAGAGATGCTGCAGATAAAAGTTGGCATTAGATTTTTGACTCTAAGGGATATATATTCATCTTGAACAGAAGTAAGAAAAATAAAAACAGTTCAACAGTAAGACAACTCACCGAGACGGTCAAGGGCTGAAGGAGGCATTATAACTGTAGCATGACACATTTAATTTTGACATCAGATGGATGCGAAAAGGATATTTTAAAAAACAAAAGAACTAGTATGGACATGGAAACTTACTTTTGTCACCACTTTCAATTTGGGGCTGCAGTATTAAGAGGGGAAAAATAAAAAGACGAAATATTAGATAACTCAATTTACGAAAATATATGTTTCAATTTAAGAATACCATAACTCTCATACCATAAACATTATAGATTAAGGTCACCTTAATTGACCATCTTAAATTTCTTTCTCTAGGTTTGACGAAAATTTATGTTTCAATTTAAGAATACAATAACTCTCATATCTTAAATTTCCATATTCTATATTTCGAACCAGCATCCAAATATTTGCTTTCTGCTATATCTTCTTATGTTCAAGGTAATATGATGGAGGTATAGTAATTTTGAACTTTAAAGCAATATGGGTTTCAATCTACATTAACAAACTTAACAGTCTAATCAGAATTTCAATTTTCTACATTTTATGCAAACTTAGTTCCCTCAACAAGACAAAACCCACCATAATTTTCATCTGTTCATCGATTCCTTCTCTTTCAAGTCTCTTTTCTTCCCATACAAACACTGATAAGATAAGAGAACCTTTGCACACCGCTGTCTGGTTTGTTTCCCCGCCATTATAAAAAACCATGCACAGTGAAGCTCCAGCATAGGAAACTCTCACGTCAGACTTCTTTTGTTTTTTGGTCATGTCACAAAAAATGCATGTGACTATGACTTACGCTGGATGTTGTTCTTCCAAAGTTTCAGTGTAAATCTAGTCTCATAGTGTGATTTAGAGGTTATTTTCATTATTATTAATGCTATTTACTATGTATTTTTAAATGTTTAAGTGTAACTCAAGAATTTGCAGTCCATGTACTACCCCATTTATAATCTTTCATCAACCCAGTAAATCCTACATAAAATCTCAATTGTGAAAAGAACATTTAGATTTATCAGATATAGACCCCCTTTCTTATCCAAAAGGAAGGAGACTCATAGTATGCTTTTCAAGAGGGTGAGAGAGACAGAGACAGAGAGAGGATAATGGAAAGGGATGAAGTGCATAGTGGATTTGGGGGACATTAAACCCGTTCACATCAATGTATCCCACAACTTAACCGATTGCAGTCACCCAAAGGAACAACATTTTTTGTTTATGATAAACGACTGAATAACTGGATGAGGAGCCTAACATAAAATACCACAAATAGCACATATATGGTCAAATACTAGAAACAATATGTAAAAAAATAATAAGAAGAAAACTATATAAGTCATGGCTAATTTTAGTTAGCTGAAAGCAATATAATTTAAGAGTGGATTATAAGTTCAAAATGGAAAGTAAAAGTCAATGAACTTTTAATCATTCCATAATAGATACGCAGTATGCCTGAAAAGAAATACCTTTTCAATAAAAGAAGCTGGGTAGCATCGATATATCTGCTCAAATGATGTCCCGTGATATCCATATCCGTCAAAAAACTGTGAAAAATGTACATGAAGTGGATAAGAGTATATAAAAATCGGCAGATATCATCCTGGCGTCAATATTACATGATTAATTAATCGATTGATTAGAATGTTATAAAGAGGAAAAGTATAATTAATAGAGATGATGAAAAACATAATTCTACGAAAGACAAAGGAGCCGACATATATTAATAATTGAAATCGAAACAACACAAGAGAATAAGGGAATAATTGGCTTATGGAAATGTTTTGTAATGATAAAAAGGAAACTTTAATTAATCATTTCATCCATATGTCCGCTTTTCGTTTTAGTCCTGATACCTAAATACTATGCGTTGCGGTTTCTATACATACGAGCATCTTCTTTATGTTTTTAGGTGTCATCCCTCCATTTTATTCTTGTTTTATACTGCTAGGAAACTAACCATAAGAACAAAAAACACATGTTTGCTTGTCGCAGAGATTTTAGGAACATGTGGTAAAACAGAAAGTTGGCACAGGAATAGGAATAAATTGCTTAAACCTAACAAAAACATCATCTTCTTGTCACATTGCATTATGTTTTCAAAAGGTTTGAACAGGCAACGATAAGAACAACATCAAGAAACAGGAAAAAAAAACAAGTCATTTTCGGAAGCAAACCATTTTCTATTGTGCTGATTGCAGATACACCGAGAATCAACCCTCAAAGCTCCCTGTAAAAGTAAACAACCAGGTGCCTTATATTAACAAGAGGTAAGCAGCCGACCATAAAAAATGGCGATCGAGCCAGTGTATAAATTTCCAAATGCAGACAAAATCAATTATAATGGCGTTCATATATAGGTAATTTTTACAAAGCGAAAATTACATATAAAACGAAAAAATTAATCAATCAAAACAGAATCCTAAACCGAACAAGCATTATCCACAGACTCGTGAAACTCGATCGCGTAATCAAGATTACAGGAGAAGTACACGCAATTGAGGAAACCCTAAGTCCGACCGAGGGAAAGGTAACAACTATGCAATCATCCTTCGATTTTAAGAAAGACTGAATCAAAGTGAAAACTAGAGGCATTTGAATCTAATACAAGTAAATTGTGAGAAAAAAATTAAGCAGTGGAAAGATTTGCCAGGATCAATAATTGAAAAATTACAGCTAAATGAGCTTGGGAGAAGGAAACGAAAGCGAAGAGAGAAACCTGATGCTTGATCTGAAGAGAGAGAGAACAGAGAAAGAGCAAGGTAGGGGAATGGAATATAAACTATTTTGATAGAGTTGAGACTGGGGCAGTAGGTAGCAGGTGATAGAGAATAATAGATTGCAAATGGTAATCCAACCGAATGGGTTATGGCTTCAGTACGTAACGCTCACGCTACGTCGCCAAATATTTGGACTGGGCCTCAATTCGGCCCAATTAATTAAATCCTTAATCAATCTATATCTGAAACTGGAATTGACACGTATGTTGTTAGGTTGTTATTATAATATCAACCATACATTTACAGCATGAAATCCAATAAAAAGAGATGTTATATATACACGACTTTAGGTAAGAAATTGATTTTACGACCATAACAAAAGATATAAAAGAAATTAAAACTATAGCTATCAGTTTCAATTATGAATAAAAACTAAAAATATTATTCCAAATAGATATATTAATAAGATGTATCGATGATTTGTATTTTTTTCGAATAACTAATTTATAACGTCCCGAACCCGACGGTGGGAGAAGCTAACTTTGCCTAAGGCCTCCAAAAACAGCAAACTCAACACATCGGCCAAACTCACCTTAACCTCGCATTCATATCCATTTTTCTGCACCCTAACAAAAATTCAATTATTAGAAGAAACAAAGAAAAATTTATTCACATTGCATTGATCAAGCATGGGTTTGAAAAATCTGTTCAACCGGGAGAAGGACGCAATATCATCCGGCGGGGCGTCGCGATCGATGTCACTGTCGGTGCGGTCGCGCGTGCGGATTGGGGGAGAGCTGGAGCAGGTGTTCAAGAAGTTCGACGTGAATGGAGACGGAAAAATATCGGCGTCGGAGCTGGGGTCGATGATGAGGAACCTGGGACAGGCAGCGACGGAGCAGGAGGTGGACAACATGATCCGGGAGGTGGACGGGGACGGTGACGGGTGCATCAACCTGCAGGAGTTCATCGAGCTGAACACCAAGGGCGTGGACTCCGACGAGGTGATGGAGAACTTGAAGGATGCGTTCTCCGTGTTCGACATGGACGGGAACGGGTTTATCACAGCGGAGGAGCTGAACACGGTGATGCAGAGCCTGGGGGAGGAGTGCTCCCTGGCGGAGTGCCGGAGGATGATCGGCGGCGTGGACAGAGACGGCGACGGCACCATCGACTTCGAGGAGTTCAGGACGATGATGATGATGGGGTCGCGTCATGACACTACTGATAGAGTTAAACCACCTCCAGAAACGTATTAATTACTCTTTCTATTCCTCTCCTCCAAACTGTACAAAAACCTATCTATTAAATATATTGTATGTAAATTCCTTCAATTCAAAGAGATTATTTCTATTTCTATTTCAATTTACACTTTTACCTTTTTTCATCCAAATTCTCAGCCAGATTAATTCTTCCTTTCTTTGTTTTTTTCTTTTATTGAGAAATTAAAATACATTGAATTGAAATGTTTTTTAATTTAAAATGGTTTATTTTTAAAATATTTTAAATCTGAGTATTGAAATGTTATCATTCATTTCATATAGCACTACTTTTTTATTTATCATATATCTCATTCTAATCTATATACTTAAAAAAATTGTAATTTATATTTATTTTGTCCAAAACAATTGTAATGATCATAGGTCAAGTATACTGAATCAGTCATTTCTAAATTTAGGATTCAGATCTTCATGTATCCATTATAACAGTCCTATGTGTGCAACACCAATTTAAAATAAAAAAAATCTTATTTTCTTTTAACTTGATTGACAAAACTGATTATTTGTATATTGTAATTCTCTCTAGGTATACAAATATACATCTTCTGTATCATTATTACAATAAATATAATTAATGGTTTTAACTTAATCTTTGTTAATATTTTTTACTACAATATTAAAGAAATATCACTCTTATATAGTTGAGGATTTAAGCTTGTGGAGGAGTTGCCGCAGGGAAGCCGAAGAGGATTGGGTTATGGCCACTTCGAAGACGGTGATGTGTTCGCTGACCCACTTGCGTCCGCTAACATGCGCCGCATCTGCATCGGCGTCACGAATAGTTCCCTACCCACCCGACCTCATAAAGTGGGTAACCAGAGAGGGCGGGTTCGTGCACCGCGCGCTCGATATAGCACAACTGGGTTCATCCAACGGACTGGGTCTAGTGGCCAAGGAACCAATTCCACGTGGCACTGACCTAATTGTCCTCCCGCACCACCTTCCCTTGCGCTTTACCACTCTTGAACACGACCCTGTGCTGCATCACTTGGCGCGCCAAATCCCTGGTATTCATTCTTTCTGTTGAGTCTAGGGTTTGTTCTTTTTCTATAATTAGGCTACACTGAGTTTTTGATGTAAATGAATTGGACACTGTGGTAGCATTTGGCAGAGGAACTATGGGCAATGAAACTGGGTTTGAAGCTTCTGCAAGAGAGGGCAAAAGTTGGGTCCTTTTGGTGGCCGTACATAAGTAATCTCCCTGAAACATACACCGTGCCTATTTTCTTTCCTGGGGAGGACATAAAAAACTTGCACTATGCTCCACTTCTTCATCAGGTATTTCTTCAACAAAATACAGAGATAAAATGCATTGAGTTTCTTTTGAGCTATATAGTCAAACTTATTTCAAATTTTGGAGAAATAAAAAAATAAAGGAACTTTTAGAAAAATTTAGTTCATAAGCTTCTTCTTAAAGCACAATTTTTTTTTATTTTTCCCATGTCGGTTCTTATGATCCAAGCAGGATCGTAATTTGTACTTCACAACTAATCAAGAATTGATTTTGACAGGAGAAATGAATCTACTATACCTACTTCATCTCCAACTCTAATGTTGAAAGCGCTTACCCTTTTGAAATGCATTTCTGCGTCTCTTATTCTTCGAGTTTTCTAGTTTTATAAGATATATAAAAATCATTTCATGCACCTAGCCTGTAAGTTTTACTGTTGTATTAATCCACTTTCATTTCTCTTTTGGGATCATGAGAAAATGCATTTTCATTTCAGTCCTTTAGCTAATACTTAATGACGTACTTGTAAGCAATTCCAGAAGCTGAAATCGTCTGTGTCGTTGTTTATAGAATATATTGAGTGCCTCTCGCAGGTCTGTACTATGGCAGTTAAGTTAAGTCAATTTCTTGAGGCAGGTAAACAAAAGATGTCGGTTTCTTCTTGATTTTGAGCAAGAAGTGAAGCGTGCCTTAGCGAGTGTTAAGCCAGATAGCCATCCTTTTGGTGGTCAAGAAGTAGATGCATCTTCTCTTGGATGGGCAATGTCAGCAGTCTCATCTAGGGCCTTCAGGTTGTATGGTGAAAAGGATCAGAATGGGGACCGGATTCACATACCCATGATGCTCCCTCTGATTGATATGTGCAATCATAGTTTCAATCCAAATGCTAGAATTGTTCAGGAAGAAGATACCGATACCATGAAGATGCAAGTGAAGGCATGCTTTCTCATTTTTCATATATATATATTGCACCAACCCCCGCCAAATTGTTCTTTTTCGGCTTTTAAGTAACAAGTTAAATCTGACTCCGCTTTCCTGTTGGTATTCTTTCTTTCTCTCAGGTTGTGGCTGAGACAGCCATCAAAGAAGATGATCCTCTGTTACTTTGCTACGGCTGTTTAAACAATGATTTTTTCCTTCTTGATTATGGATTTGTGATTCACTCAAACCCTTTTGATTGTATCGAGCTCAAATATGATGGCGCTCTTTTGGATGCTGCAAGCACTGCAGCTGGAGTTTCTTCACCAAATTTCTCAGCACCTGCTCCATGGCAGGAACTGATTTTATCTCAGTTGAATCTATCTGGAGAAACTCCAGATCTCAAGGTTAAACTACTATTACATGTTACATTAGTGCCCTTCTTCTATCTTGTAGAAACTCAATGCATATTGCCGTTAATGTATCAACATAACATCCACATTTTGACTGAAGGTTTCCCCACGGTTGATAAGTGAGTGATAAAACTGGCCAAAGCATAGTAGGATCATCAGGAATAAGTAATAATTGCAGGATAACTGAATGATTTAACCCCCAAAACTGAAAAAACTTTGTGGTATTGATCATCCCACCCATGGCACAAGTTCATTTTATTTGTTTTATTGTGACAGGTGAGCTTAGGTGGTCAAGAAACAGTAGAGGGCCGCTTGGTGGCTGCATTGCGAGTAGTCCTTTCGAGTAATGTGGAAACTGTGCAGAAGTATGATCTCAGTACACTAAAGTCTTTGGATGTTGAGGCTCCTCTCGGTGTTGCAAATGACATAGCTGTATTTCGCACCCTAATTGCTTTGTGCGTCATCGCATTGGAACACTTTCCGACCAAAATAATGGATGATGAATCTCTGTTGAAGCAGGGTGCTTCAGGTTCAACCGAGTTAGCCATTCAGTACAGAATCCAAAAGAAATGCGTGATTATAGACGTAATGAAAAATCTCTCAAGGAGGGTAAAGCTTCTATCATCAAAGGAAACAGCTACCCCTGAAGGCTGAGTGTATGCTTATTTTCCTTAAAACTTCCCAACCGGCTCTAAAGTGAATGCTACACTAACAATGGATCCACTTTCAGTTTAATGCGGCGCTTATTCAAACACACATTGGGTGATTAAGTTGAACGTGCCGGTCATTCAATGATTGTGAACGATTAGTTATTTGCTTGCTGCTAGGAATATCCCTTTTCCCTTTTATTCTCTTTTTGATTTGTTTGCCATGTAATTTTGATTGAGCTAGTTACTTAAGCCGTTTGACAAATCTTCTACTGAAATATAAGCAGTGCTACTTATTTTATTTAATTGGTCATTATGTGTTAATGTTTCTTTGCACTGCACCCAATTCAACATAATTTAGTCTTTCTCCAAATATGAAACCAATTCAGTAGAAGCTCTATGATTTGACAATCTTCCCCGTTGGGAGAACTGTAAATATGAAATACGTCATACTGGAAAAATCTAATTCAGTAACCGAATATTTTATTAGTAGCTATCGATGAAACGTAAATAAACTTATTCTCTTAGTTTTATAAGCAGTGATTATTTTTTTAGTTTCTTCCTTCTCTGTTTTTTTTTCACACAAAAAAGGAATATTCCGTGGTTCAGATTTATGTTATTATGTAGACTTAGGAGGACAGAAAGTCAGAAACAAACAGAAAATCTGCACCACACCGGCCATCGCTCTCTCTTTCACAGTCTCCCATGAATAATACCAGTCAAAGAATTTGAATAAGATGTGGAACTACAAATTTCCATTCTATTTTCCTTGACGTGGCACAAGAACGGCTAGTTATACTGTGCCGTTCCGTGTTGGATTTAATCTTTGAAATTAGGGAGCGTTTGCGTTTGGAAAGAATCCATGTCAAGCCCTGTTCATTTTTCACAGGGCAACTGAATCGGCGGCTTCAAACCTCGTCACGTACAAGAAGAAAAGAAAATCGTAACAGGGGACAACGAATCCTTTCTCGACCAAACAATTGTGTTTGCTCCACAAGCACATAGAAAGAAATTTTAGAGAAAGCATGTCACAATATATACCACCAAAAACACGTAGAAGAAAGTCACAAGAACATAAAAGCTAGGAAGAAAGAAACCGAAAAAAAAAAAACAGGCTGAAAAGGAAGAAAAAAGGGATTTATAATAAAGTTCAAACTTCAAAGAAGGGAAGTCTGTCTCTCTAAGCATAGAACATTTTATGTACATGTGTGTCTGTAGTGATGTCGTGGTGATCTAACATCCAAGGATAGCACTCTCGGCCAATCCCAGTGGCGAGCGAGAGCGAAGACGGTTGACATCTCTGAGAAGGGCACGCCTGATGTGTAGCTGCAGTGAAGGGTGCTTTATTTTCTCAATTTCTTGCTTGATTTTGATGACTTGGCTATGAACTGCATAACCCATGTAGCCCTCTCGTTTCTCGTTGAAGAAGGTGGCGGAGGTGCAGGTGGAGGCGGCGGTGCTCTCCATCTTCTTCGTTTTCTTCTTCTTGTTGTTCTTCAGCAGAATCCCAAATAGAAACCTTTAGAAAACAAATGTTTGAAACGTGATTATGGCGTCTAGGAAACAAGTTCAAGGATTATATATATACCCGAAAGAAGGAATGAAAAATCAGATTTTTAGAGAAAGGGAAAAAATCTTTCCTTTGTTTTTTTTTTATTATAAAAATAAATAAAAAAAGTTTTATTAGGGCTCCAATCCACCTTCTCCATTTGGATGCATTTAGAACAGACATTTGAAGCCACGCACCTAAAATATATTCTTAATTTCTTATTACACTATTACTATTATTAAACACATACGCCAAATTATCTGTATTTTTTAAATATATAAACTATTTATATTTTAAAACTAGCAATTAAAGAGTAAAATTGGAAAAATAAATGATATATATAGTTATAGATATAACTATAAATAAAATAAATTGTAATTATTAAAATAAAAGATATTATAAGTAATATTATGTAAATAATATCATGAGCAATTATTTAAATTTGAAAAAATAGTTACTGAAATAATAAAACAGTAAATAATTATTTTCTAATGAAAGTAATTATTTGAATTTAAAGAAAAAGTAAAAAATATTTTTTTATCGTAAATAATTATTTATAGGTTATATATTTATTATTTCCACCCACCATATGTTATACTTTAATTACAAATCTGACTCATTTGATTTGTTGTTTTCTTTTCTATTAGAACCAAGAAACTGAATAAACGGACAACCGTGTGATAAACTGATTCAACGCCATTTGTCCAATACAAATATTTAATTCAGAAATAATATTTTATGGTAATTTAAATGATTGTGAAAAATAAAAACACATTAAGATGCATATAAAGATAGTAATATGAATGATTAAGAGTGAGATTGAAATTTGATGAAACACGTGGAGGAAAGGGGTGGTGTGTGGGAAGGGCAATGATAGGAATGGATCCATATAATATTTATGTGAGAAGGAAAAGTCGTCAAAGTTGAGAAATGTTTGGTATTTGCAGAGAGAAATGGTTTCCACGACATAAAAATGCTCCAAAATCAAACTTCTACCACCCTCCATTGCTGCCCAACATAACCTGAAACGACAACTTGGGAAGCCACCCAAACCAATGGAAACTCACCACCTCAATTCAATCAATTTCAGTTTATGTCTATTCACACCCACTTTGCTTCTTATGTTTTCTGGTTTTGTCCCCATTTGCCACTTGTTACTGTTTTCCACATCCCTCAATCTTCAAACACTTCCTCTTTTTTATATTCAATGGAGAAAAATAGCCCACAAATTTATTATTAAAAATAATATTTGAAAACACAAAAAAAATCTTTAAAAGTGAAGATAGCTTTGTTTAAAGATTTTTGTTTCCAATTTAAGGAATCGATTTTACCATAAAAAAGTTAAAATATAATATTTTCTCAAAAATTTTACCTAAAATACTTTAATTTGNTTCTTTCTGTTGAGTCTAGGGTTTGTTCTTTTTCTATAATTAGGCTACACTGAGTTTTTGATGTAAATGAATTGGACACTGTGGTAGCATTTGGCAGAGGAACTATGGGCAATGAAACTGGGTTTGAAGCTTCTGCAAGAGAGGGCAAAAGTTGGGTCCTTTTGGTGGCCGTACATAAGTAATCTCCCTGAAACATACACCGTGCCTATTTTCTTTCCTGGGGAGGACATAAAAAACTTGCACTATGCTCCACTTCTTCATCAGGTATTTCTTCAACAAAATACAGAGATAAAATGCATTGAGTTTCTTTTGAGCTATATAGTCAAACTTATTTCAAATTTTGGAGAAATAAAAAAATAAAGGAACTTTTAGAAAAATTTAGTTCATAAGCTTCTTCTTAAAGCACAATTTTTTTTTATTTTTCCCATGTCGGTTCTTATGATCCAAGCAGGATCGTAATTTGTACTTCACAACTAATCAAGAATTGATTTTGACAGGAGAAATGAATCTACTATACCTACTTCATCTCCAACTCTAATGTTGAAAGCGCTTACCCTTTTGAAATGCATTTCTGCGTCTCTTATTCTTCGAGTTTTCTAGTTTTATAAGATATATAAAAATCATTTCATGCACCTAGCCTGTAAGTTTTACTGTTGTATTAATCCACTTTCATTTCTCTTTTGGGATCATGAGAAAATGCATTTTCATTTCAGTCCTTTAGCTAATACTTAATGACGTACTTGTAAGCAATTCCAGAAGCTGAAATCGTCTGTGTCGTTGTTTATAGAATATATTGAGTGCCTCTCGCAGGTCTGTACTATGGCAGTTAAGTTAAGTCAATTTCTTGAGGCAGGTAAACAAAAGATGTCGGTTTCTTCTTGATTTTGAGCAAGAAGTGAAGCGTGCCTTAGCGAGTGTTAAGCCAGATAGCCATCCTTTTGGTGGTCAAGAAGTAGATGCATCTTCTCTTGGATGGGCAATGTCAGCAGTCTCATCTAGGGCCTTCAGGTTGTATGGTGAAAAGGATCAGAATGGGGACCGGATTCACATACCCATGATGCTCCCTCTGATTGATATGTGCAATCATAGTTTCAATCCAAATGCTAGAATTGTTCAGGAAGAAGATACCGATACCATGAAGATGCAAGTGAAGGCATGCTTTCTCATTTTTCATATATATATATTGCACCAACCCCCGCCAAATTGTTCTTTTTCGGCTTTTAAGTAACAAGTTAAATCTGACTCCGCTTTCCTGTTGGTATTCTTTCTTTCTCTCAGGTTGTGGCTGAGACAGCCATCAAAGAAGATGATCCTCTGTTACTTTGCTACGGCTGTTTAAACAATGATTTTTTCCTTCTTGATTATGGATTTGTGATTCACTCAAACCCTTTTGATTGTATCGAGCTCAAATATGATGGCGCTCTTTTGGATGCTGCAAGCACTGCAGCTGGAGTTTCTTCACCAAATTTCTCAGCACCTGCTCCATGGCAGGAACTGATTTTATCTCAGTTGAATCTATCTGGAGAAACTCCAGATCTCAAGGTTAAACTACTATTACATGTTACATTAGTGCCCTTCTTCTATCTTGTAGAAACTCAATGCATATTGCCGTTAATGTATCAACATAACATCCACATTTTGACTGAAGGTTTCCCCACGGTTGATAAGTGAGTGATAAAACTGGCCAAAGCATAGTAGGATCATCAGGAATAAGTAATAATTGCAGGATAACTGAATGATTTAACCCCCAAAACTGAAAAAACTTTGTGGTATTGATCATCCCACCCATGGCACAAGTTCATTTTATTTGTTTTATTGTGACAGGTGAGCTTAGGTGGTCAAGAAACAGTAGAGGGCCGCTTGGTGGCTGCATTGCGAGTAGTCCTTTCGAGTAATGTGGAAACTGTGCAGAAGTATGATCTCAGTACACTAAAGTCTTTGGATGTTGAGGCTCCTCTCGGTGTTGCAAATGACATAGCTGTATTTCGCACCCTAATTGCTTTGTGCGTCATCGCATTGGAACACTTTCCGACCAAAATAATGGATGATGAATCTCTGTTGAAGCAGGGTGCTTCAGGTTCAACCGAGTTAGCCATTCAGTACAGAATCCAAAAGAAATGCGTGATTATAGACGTAATGAAAAATCTCTCAAGGAGGGTAAAGCTTCTATCATCAAAGGAAACAGCTACCGCTGAAGGCTGAGTGTATGCTTATTTTCCTTAATACTTCCCAACCGGCTCTAAAGTGAATGCTACACTAACAATGGATCCACTCTAAAGTGAATGCTACACTAACAATGGATCCACTTTCAGTTTAATGCGGCGCTTATTCAAACACACGTTGGGTGATTAAGTTGAACGTGCCGGTCATTCAATGATTGTGAACGATTAGTTATTTGCTTGCTGCTAGGAATATCCCTTTTCCCTTTTATTCTCTTTTTGATTTGTTTGCCATGTAATTTTGATTGAGCTAGTTACTTAAGCCGTTTGACAAATCTTCTACTGAAATATAAGCAGTGCTACTTATTTTATTTAATTGGTCATTATGTGTTAATGTTTCTTTGCACTGCACCCAATTCAACATAATTTAGTCTTTCTCCAAATATGAAACCAATTCAGTAGAAGCTCTATGATTTGACAATCTTCCCCGTTGGGAGAACTGTAAATATGAAATACGTCATACTGGAAAAATCTAATTCAGTAACCGAATATTTTATTAGTAGCTATCGATGAAACGTAAATAAACTTATTCTCTTAGTTTTATAAGCAGTGATTATTTTTTTAGTTTCTTCCTTCTCTGTTTTTTTTTCACACAAAAAAGGAATATTCCGTGGTTCAGATTTATGTTATTATGTAGACTTAGGAGGACAGAAAGTCAGAAACAAACAGAAAATCTGCACCACACCGGCCATCGCTCTCTCTTTCACAGTCTCCCATGAATAATACCAGTCAAAGAATTTGAATAAGATGTGGAACTACAAATTTCCATTCTATTTTCCTTG